TGGGTGTGGGTTTGGGTGTGCGTGTGCGTGTGCGTGTGCGTGTGCGTGTGTGCGTGCGTGCGTGCGCGCGCGGGCGTGCGTGCGTGCGTGCGTGCGTGCGTGCGTGCGTGCGTGCGCGTGCGCGCTTGCGTGCGTGCGTTTCTCCGGCGTAGTCGTAAGCAAAAGCAGCGCCGTCATGGTCGTCGTTTTTGTTGTCGTCGTCGTCGCCGTCGTCGTCGTCGTCGTTGTCGTCGTCGTCGTCTTCGCAATCGTCGTCGTCACCGTCGTCGTCGTCGTCTTCGCTTCGCCGTCGTCTTCGCCGTCGTCGTCGCCGTCGTCGCCGCTGTCGTCGTTGCCGTCGTCTTCGCCGTCGTCGTCGCCGCTGCCTCCCCCCCATCCATTTGGGGGGGGGGACGTGGGAACCCTGGAACCCATATCATCTGGGGAGGGGGGGGGAGCGTGGGCACCCGACACCCTGGATCACATGTATATTATCGATACATAAACACATACGTACATCCATCCATCCATCCATCCATCCATCCATCCATCCATACATACATACATACATACATACATACATACATATATACACACATACATACATACATACATACATACATACATACATACATGCATGCATGCATGCATGCATGCATACATACATACATACATACATACATACATACATACATACATACATACATACATACATACATTACATACATTACATTACATGCATACATACACATACACATACACATACACATACACATACACATACACATATACATATACATATACATATACATATACATATACATATACATATACACATACATATACACATACATATACATATTCATATACATATACATATACATATGCATATGCATATACATGTACAGATACAAATACATATACATATACATACACATATAGACATACCTATACATATGCATACGTATATATATATATACGTGTATATGTAGAGAGAGAGAGAGAGAGACAGGTAGATAGGGGTCTGTTGGGGATCTCCTGGGGCCTCTTGGGGGGTGCCTGGGGCCTTTCGAGGGCCTCTGAGGGGCTTCTGGGGGCTTCTGAGGAAACTCTTTGCCATTGGAGGCGGTGATCTGGGCAACAAAAACGTTTTTATATGGCTTTCCGGGTGGCCGGCGCATTAGACCGAGACCTTCTATAATTATCAAAAATTGCCTACAGCCCAGTACGCAGTGCAATGCTGTGGCAAGCCGCAGGGGGCGGCGGATGACAGAAAGCGCGCGCCAAGAGGGCTCCGAGAGGCACCCAAGGTGCTCCAAAGGGCTTCGGAGACGGCCCAGCAGCCCCCAAAACGCTAGGATGCCAAAGTCATGAATTTCCGATCGGGTTTTGCTCTTTTGCTCCCCCATCTCTCCCCTCTCCGGGGCATCCCCCCTACTCGTCAGGCGTCCTGGCCCGCGCTCGGCTTTTGAAGCCCCCCCTTCCCCCCTGGCTCTTGGCCGGGGCGGCGGAGCCAGACAGGTGGTGCACAGTTCCACAGGCTTGGTTTGGTTTTTTGTCGATTTGAGCCAGGGTTTTTGAAGCACTTTGCGTGTTGGTTCGCCTGTTGCAGGTGGCTCTGCCTTTCCACCCGCTTCTGGTGCGCCCAGCGCCCGGCGAGGCCCGCCGGCTCTGCTCAGACGCACATGTTCGACGGCCAGCGACGCCGACAGACAAAAAAATCGCCCGGCGAAGGACCCAACCAGACGCAACTGTGAGTACCGCATCCGTGAGTGTCGTCTTCAGTGGATCTCTCTGTTCAGTATCGTTTAACCGATTCCTATCCCCATCCACATCCACATCTCGAGCCCCACCGTCTCACTACCCCAGTTGGGGATGTGCCCCACGAAACCCGAAGAGAGCAGCCTATATCCCCATCCAGGGGGGGTTAAATCGGCCAGTGGGGCCCAGCCCACGCTGGTGGGGATGGGGATTGGTTAAACGATGCTCACCTGCAGGGGCACGAAGCGCCGTACTGGGTGGGGGAGACGCATGCCTGCACAGCCACTAGGCCTTTGGCGGAGATCCTTTTGGGGCCACGGAACGCCGTACTGGGTGGCGCGGGACGCATGCAGTCACAGCCATTGGGGTCTTCGGCGGAGCTGCCTATGGGGCCACGGAGCGCCGTACTGGGTGGCGCGGGACGCGTGGGGTCACAGCCATTGGGGCCTTCGGCGGAGCTCTCTATGGGGCCACGAAGCGCCGTACTGGGTGCGGGGGGCAGAGGCACGGATAGGAGGGGGGAGGAGGCAGGAGGAGAGGAGAGGAGAGGAGAGAGGAGAGGAGAGGAGAGGAGAGGAGAGGAGAGGAGACGCGGGGCGAGGTCTCTTCAAAACGAGCACCCAACACCACAGGATGGTTGTTGGGAAAGACATTTTCTCGCCCCTCGGATCCCCAGACCCCCGACGTAATGATTTTTCATAACGTCGACCCCTAGAGGTCTCGACCCATTCCCCGGGACCAGTTTCTCATCCTGAGTCGTTCTTTGATGGTCCCGAGGCCCGGCGAGGGCCCCCAGATGCCGAGAATGACAAAAAACCTCGAATCATCATGTTTTCATTACTCGAAGGGGTCTGGATCCTCAGGCAGGCTCGGGCCCCCCGAGCGACGCGTCGCTGCCGGCGCGCGTCGAGCGGGTCGAGGAGGCCGTGCAGCGGATGCGGGCGGAGCTTCAGCACCAGGGCGCCCGGCTCGCCGGCGTGGAGAGGACAGCAGGGACCCAGACCCACGACGTCGTGTGTGTTTTGTTTTCACAAGTTGTTTATTAATGCTTGTTTGTATGAATATATGTACACCTAATCTTGGGCATTCACCGCGTCCAAGACGGCCCAAGAGGCCTCCAAGACCGCCCCAAGACGGCCCAAGAAGCTTCCAAGAGGGCCCCAGGACAGCCCAAGAGGGCCCCAAGACGGCCCAAGAGGCGCCCAAGATGGCCCAAGAGGGCCCCAAGACGGGCCCAAGAGGGGGCCCAGAGGGGGACCACGAACCGCAAGCTCGAGCCTTCCGCCCCAAGAGGCCGCCAGGAGGCCCCAAGGAGGCCCCTCAAGAGGCCCCAGGAGACCCCCAAGAGGCCCAACGGAGGCCCCGAGAAGCCCCAAATCGGCCCCCAAAATGCTTCGAACCTGCTTCCAGGAGGCCCCCGACAGGTTCAGAGGCTCCCGAGAAGCTACGTCAAACTCCCAGCGAGCGGCCGGACGAGGCCCCCACAAAATCACAAGAGGGTTCCAGTATTTGTATCCTTCAGCGCTCTCTGGCCTTCTTCCCCCTGCCCCTTCCCTGCGACTTTCGTTGACTCAAGCTCGCCTCCTAGCTAGAACCTAAGCGCGCGCGAAGCGCGCGCGTGGTTCTAGTTATATTATTAGACAAAACAGCACATTGCAACAACAACAACAACAACAACTACAACAACAACAACAACAACCACAATCATGTCAAGCCTGTTCGCTCTTACTGGCACACGTGTCCTGCTTTCCGTATACCCCAACCCTCGATACCCGCCCACTTCGTCTTCGATTGCACCCCCTTGCGGGAGGAATCTCTTCCTTGTCGGCCACTGACTGAAGCGCGAATAAGGCTCGAGCGAGAGCGCCGTTCCTGAGTTCGGGGGCCTCTCTGGTCAGGGGCTTTCGGAATACTGATGGAGAAATATCGAACGGGAGCCATTGTCTCCGTGTCCGGGCCTCCACCAACTTGCCTGAATTACGGGAATGTCTCGAGCGAGAGCGCCGTTCCTGAGTTTGGGGGCCTTCTTGGCCAGGAGCTCTCGAAGCAAATCGTGAGGAGGTATCGAGCAGGAACCCTTGTCGTCGTGGCTGAGACTGCGCCAACTTAATTGAATTGCGAGGAAGTCTCGAGCGAGAGCGCCGTTCCTGAATTCGGGGGCCTTTCTGGCCAGGATGTCTCGGGGTAAATTGTGAGAAAGTATCGAGCGGGAGCCGTTGTCGTCGTAGCTGGGCCTCCAAGGGCCCACATCCGGGCAAAAGACGCTTGAGCAGGAGCCTCGTTTTCATAGAAGATGTAGCCGGCGTCGAGGCGGGAGTGCGCGTAACCGTTTCCGGAGATCAGCAGACATGAGTTTCCAACAACAGCAACAACAGCAGCAGCAGCAACAACAACAGCAACAGCAACAACAACAACAGCAGCAACAACAAACAAAGAACAACAAACAAACAAAACACGCCGACCCCCAGAGGCCTGGGCCCCTTCCCCAGACCGGTTCTTCCGCCCGAGTCGTTTTCTGACGGGTCCGAGGCCCAGCAAAGGGTCCCCCCCAAGAGGCATCAAGCAGCGCGAGGAACCTCCCGTCGTGTTTTGTCACAACGCTCCTCCTCCCCTTCCGCCCGCGGCCCCTTTCTCCTCCTTCTGCTCCTGCACGCCGGACAATTAGCTTAGCAGTGCCCCTGCTTCGCTCTTTCGCTGGTGCGGATTGCCCCGCCTCGCCGCCGACGAAAAAAAGTTGTGTCACAACGAGAGGGGGTCTGGGGGCGCGCATCCAGAAGCCAGATGTATGTTCCGTCATGGGGATCCTAGGTTTCTTCGCTCCGCGCGCTGCGCAGTGGCTTCCCTCGGCCGTTGAAGAGGCTGCTGCGTGTGTGGTGCTCTGCTTTCATGCTGCCTTCTGTTCTTCCGGCTCGGAAAAGATGTTGCGGAAAGATTTGGTCGATTTTGGGCCTCCCAGACAGGGTCGAAGTGTGTGGCGTCGGAGGCTCGCTCGGCATCGTCGATGCATCGGCGATTCGGCTCGATGCGGAGCACGATGTTCTCCACGCCGACGCCGGCGACGCATCGTTGACGTCGCCGATGCATCGCCGATGCATCGGGGATACATCGATGATGCATTAGCCCTGCGGCGCGATCCTCCGACCCCATCTACTCGGACCCCATCTAGGAGGCCTCTATCTATGGTTTCGGACGTGACGCATTTGTGTTCGCGATGTTGCATTGTTTTGCGACGTCAGAGCTCAGGGTCGGACGGGTACGCGTCAGGAGAGACAGCAAAAGCCAAGGAATACAACACATGTGGGGAGTGGATGGGATGACGAAACTCCAGACAATATTGCAAATCTGTGGAACCCCGTTGTGTCCATTTGTGTGTGTGTGTGTCCCTACGCCTAGGTTTGCCCTCCCGCGCGCGACCCCGTGAAGCCGCGCACCAGAGGTCGCTTGTGCCGCGGGCCACTCTTGCGCGTGCACGTACGGTGGGGGCGTCCGCGAGGGACCTCGAGATCCTGCCGTAGCAAGTTCCACACAGCAGCCAGTTTCGCCCAGTTTCGGGCCCACGGACCCTCACAGATCGATCCGGCTCGAAAAACAAACATTGAGGTGGGGCTTGGGGCTCTGGTTGTGATTGTTTGCGATGTTGCATTTTTTCGCAACGTCGGATCTCAGGGATGTTCCCAGGATGCTGCAGACCTTGGAGGATTCCATGCCTAATGACGGCGACGGTAATATCTATGACCAATCCACGCTTGGAGTTCCACCGGCTTCCAGACCCTGGGTTCTGTATCCAATGGTTCCTTATCCAATGCCCCACCTTAGCCGTTTCGGCGCGAGCTGGTGTTCTGGAGCTGGAGACAGCTCGCGTTTGTGTCCACTTACTTCGAAGCGGCGTAGTGGGCACGAGCCAACTTTCACGACGACGGCCCCACCTGTGGCAGCCCGCGGGTCATGGCGCCGTCACCTTCGGACCCTGGCATCATCCCAGGCGCGCGCAAGACACCTCTCTGGTCGTGCTCCTGCGGCTGTGATGGCAACTGGGCGTCCAGGACGCGCTGCCGCCTGTGCTGGAAGGCTGCTCCCACCCATGTGGTGCAGGCAGCCAAGCTCTCGGCAGCAGCCGCCAACGGGCCAGCTCCCAGCTCGTCCTGCCCGCGTGGGGCCTGGGCGCAAGGCCCGCCAGGACAAGGGCAGCTGCTGGCGCAGCTGCAGCAGCTGCAGAAGCAGGTGGCCGAGCTCAAGGGCGAGCCCCCGCCTCCGACGGAGCCCTGGAAAGGACGCAAGCCCCCGCCCAGGAAGTCGGTCGAGGAGAGTCCTGGCATTTCCTTCAAGGACGTTCGCACTTCATTGGCAAAGGAGGGGCTTGACACCAGCGCGGTGGAGGAGGCAGAGAAGGTTGCGGAGTCGAAGACGTTGGAGAGCAAACAGCCTACTGCTCAGACGCAGCGCTGGAGAGTCAAGGCCATGCGGGACAAGATCAAGAAGCTCGAGGCCCGCGAGTCAGCCATCTTGGAGCAGCAGGCCGCACTTGACAAGGAGCTCCTGGAGCTCAGGGCTTCGCTCGGCGAAGAGAATCAGAAGCTTGCGGAGGGGGAGGCCAAGTTGGTCAAGTTGCAGGCCAGCGAGTTCCCCGACCCGATTCTGGCAGTTGCAGCTGGGTTGGATGAGGACGTCGCCGCCAGCCAGGAGGCCAAGGACGCCCTCGCGGTCCTGGCCCGCTTGCAGAACGCAGCCAGCGAAAGCAAGAAGGCTGCTGCCGCTGCTAAGTCCGCTGCGGCTCCTCCTGGTCCTGCTGCTGGGGGTCCAGACGCAGGCGGCGAGCACCAACCTGTGCCAGAGTCAGATGACATCGGCATGGAGCTGCTGGGAGGAGAAGGCTGGGAGGAGAAGCATGAGGAGTATGCTGCAGCCTCAGCAGCCCTCCGTGAAGCGACCCCTGAGCAGCGGGACGAGGCCAAGCGCAAGCTGCGTGATGCCTTGGACGCGCTCTGGGCAGCAGGCAAGCGGCCTCGGCACCTTTGACCCCAGGCCCAACGTGAGCCTGGACCTCGCCTGCACGGGGAGGTGCCCCCGCCATCCCAGGGTTGAGGGGGCAGGCGCGAGGGGGCCCGTGGCGGCCGAATGTCTGCAGCTGGCCAAGCTGGTGCGGCCTTCGGAGAAGCTGGGCGCCAGCTTCCTCCGCATCAACGGCTCCACGTGGGCCGAGTCCCAGACGGCTCTCGAGCAGCTGCTGGACGAGAAGGTCAGGGACGATGTGTACTTCGTCCAAGAGACCCGCTTCACTTCGGCGCTGGCTGAAGGCTCGGCCCGTGCCTGGTGCAAGCGGAACGGCATCACTGCGGCCTTCGGAGAGTGCCGCAGCACGGGGACGGCGGTCCAGGCAGTCTCGTCTGGGGTCGCGGTTCTGGTCGGGGAACACCGCGGAGTGGCCGCGATTGACCAGGCTTGGGGCCAGCACGCCCCGAGGATTGTGGCCGGGCGCGTAGCCTTCGGGGACCTGGTCGTGGTGTGTGTCAGCATGTACCTGCAGTGCTCGGTCAAGCTCAACGAGACCAACGTGGACCTCTTGAGTGAGCTGCAGGGTTTCCTGCTGAGCTTGCGGGAGCCCTTCGAAGTGGGGGCCGACTGGAACCTGGAGCCCAGCCTCCTCAGCAGCTCGTGGTGGCCACGAGCGGTGGGGGCAGTGATAGTGGCGCCTGAGGAGCCGACCTGCGGAGACAGCGCCTACGACTTCTTCGTGATCTCAGACGCACTGGCTGGGCTAGGGCCGAAGGTGTCGGTGCTTAGACAGGCGACCGCACACCCGCACGTACCTGTCAGGCTCACCTTCGAGAAGCTGAGCAGCCAGGCAGGGGTCTGGGTGCAGAAGGGCCCCAAGCCTTTCGGGCTGCCTGTGGCCAAGCAGGAGGGGATCCAGCCCGAACCAGAGGAGGGGGACTCGCTGACGGACTGGAAGGCGCCGCTCCTGGACGAGAAGGGGAGCCCGAACAAGGCA